GCCGGATGAGCTACAGCTTGTTGGGGGAGTTGTTCCAGGCCGGCTTCAGAGGCTGTGAAAGTACAATTTGCAGACGAGCTGAACCGAGTGCTCTCGAGGTCTCTCGGTCCCGTCGACTCTCAGAAAAGAGCTGCGAAGACACACGAGAGAAATGAGCATCAGTCTCCTTGGCTGTCCTGTCCCTTTTTCACTTTGTACTTCTCCCGTTGTTGCCTTTCCTTTCTGTCTACTTCTCTCTGTTCTTCTCTCTGCGGGCACTAAATGCTTACTCGTGTGATGCAAGTCACTTGCTCCCCCTCCCCCCACCTTTTTTCTAACCTACTTCCCCTTCTTTTTTACTGTCCCCCCTCTGGCCTACTTTTTCGAGGTTTCTGTCCCTTGCGCAGTTCGTCTTCTCCCTCCTGTACGGGTTCCGTGTTCTCTGCGGAGGAGATACCCTCGCGCTTGCTTCTATCCTTCGCTTTGAAGCGTCCTCTGTGTTCCTTCCGTCAGCCAGAAGGGTTGCTAGAGAGCCGTGCGGGACGCGAGTTCTCCCCCTGGGAGCCGGGAGGCTCGCAGGATTGAGTTCATCCCTGAGCAGTCAATACTGCCAGTAGGTCACGAGCACAGCTTGCTTGTCTCGCTTGAGTTTTAGTTGTTTTCTTCATTTTCAGGTCATGCTTTTTGTAAAAGCTGCTTACGCTCTTCTCCCCGTGTCTGTTACGTTAGTAAGGAAGATCCGGCCGGTCTGGGGCTGTATGACTTCTCTCTGGCTTTTAGTGGGGGTAGTTGAGGTAGAAAAGGAAAACCAACCATAGACCTACCTGCATTGCCGTAGAATCAAGATAACGTGAAACATTTAAGGGAATAGAATTTATTTAGAACTTTGATCAGTCAGAGCTTGCCCATTGTAATAGTACTAATTTTTTTTTTAAACCAGGCGTTTAAAATTTTTAAATTTATTTTAAAATTATAGTTGACGCACAGTGTTATATTAGTTTCACGTGTACTTTACCAGACTTTTAAAAATCCGGCTTCTTTTCCCACATGTGTTAGAATCAACCTTTTTTGTTAATGTTGGATTTTTTAAATTTTTTTTTGACAGAAAGAAAAAACTTTGTTCTGCTCCCCTTTCCCTTGTTTAAAATTTTCTGAATTCCAAAATAAAAAGAAGTTAATGCTTTTAATAGGCTTTCTTTGATACTAAAAGCAAGCATTTAAATGCTTGAGGCTGTTCGCTTCCTCAGCAAGTGTATTCAGATGTGAGGGATTACTGGGTTTTAAGTACTACTGGTTGGTGGTACTTAGAGATTTTTCTCAGCAATTCCTGTTACTGTGTTGCATGTTGTGCAGCAGCAGTTCTAATTGTTACCTATAGCAGAAGAGTAATAGATTTTGGAGAAATGCCGTCATACAGAATAGAGACCCATCATGCTCTCCTGAGAGAAATTAGTAGTTACTTGCTTAATTCAATACTTTCTGGCACTATTGAATGACCATTGAGAGTCTTTGGTTTTGTCAAAGTTGACTTTTTCCCAGTTGTGCCAAGTGAATATGCATGATTTTTACTTTATGCAAAGACATTGTAGTGCATTATCTGGAACTCGGAGTTTAAAATCTGGTTAAGGCACCCTTATAGTAGTACAGCAGTGATTCTTAAAATGTAGCAGGCATGAGAGTTACCTGTGAGTCTTATATAAAATTAGGTTCTGGTCCTAAGGCCACTACATTGCAGAACTCCAGAAGGCACCCCATAGTGAATCAGTTTCTGATGCAGCTGGTCCGAGGACTAAAACTGTTGTTACAGAGTACGGCCGTAAAATAATTAGACTGGAATGTGGCTTTAAATTACTCAACTTTTTAATTATACTTTTCTGTGTCTACAGAATAAATATTTAAAGCCTAATAGAATAAGTGACTATAGATGTGATTAGTTTTTATATGTATAAATATTTGAGCTTTGTTAGGACTGTGATGTGGAGCAATTTAATTTTAAAGTTTTTATTTAATAGGACTGTTAATTTGCCTATCAGAGAGTCTGTATGTAGATAGAAGTTCTAGATTTACTGTGAAAACGTGGACTGATATTTCAAAAGGGACTGGTGATGCTAGTTAACACCTCTTAGTGCTTTATGCCAGAGACTCTGCTACAGCCTTTGCTGTATCTTTTAGTAATCAAAATGGCCTTATGAGGTAGATGCTGTTATTTCCATTTTCCAGCTGAGGATACTTGCCTTCTTAAAATTCACTGCTTGGGATGGGCTGCGGAGGTTGTGCTGGGAACAGTTTAGACATACTCTCATTAGGCTTCAGTGCTGAGTGTACTCCCAACCCATTTTCTTGGGAAATGAACAGCAACATCTCTATTGAAATGATTATACATTGTGTTCATTCTCAGATTTCTTCCTTTTAGTAATTAGTGTTGTGTATCTGATAGAATTTCTTTCTGTCTTTAATACAACACACCCTTTAGAATTCCTTTGGCCTGTGTGCTCTTTTCTGTGGATAGCCAGCCTACTAAGCTAACATCTTCAGGTTTTCTTCATGAGACTCTCTTTGGCACAGAAGTATTGGTTATATTTGGGTTTCATGTCTATCAAACTGTATCTCATAAAGCAGTAGTCACTTAAAACATGATTTTCATGTGTTAGTCTGTTTAAACTTTTTCTAGGAAATCTGTGCTAGATGAGTTGAGTAACAGCAGAAAAACAAGTGTTGAAAACTGTCTTGGTTTTTATGCTGTGGCTGCTCAGTTACACTGCAGCTGTCTGAAATCCTGAATAACAGGCGTTTATACTCTGTTACTACATAGTACCTCGACAGTGACAGTGCTCTGGGTTTCTGTCTGAAACTCCCCTTTTTTTAGATCTGTCCAGTTACTATTCAAGTTCCTATCATTGATACATAGTCCTAACACTTAGACCTGGAGACCCATTAAAGTAAGTGGTCAGGTCTGTGGAAAATACTGATAGGCATGTAGCAGAGATTTTGGAGCATGTGAACAGTTAAAAGTAGCAAAAAAGGAAAGGCAGTTATTAATGCTGGGAAAAATGGAAGGATTGTCCTAGAAAGGAAGGTTGGTTGTAATACGTTGTTTAAATCACCCATGAACAATGTTTCATGTTGTAATATTACTGCTTAAACCAGAATATGTGATATTACTGAGATACTGGGCAAGGGGAAGTTGGCAGGGTGGAACAGGTAGGGCCTCATCTTTCAGGTGACAGATGATGGCTGGAATAAACTAGGAACAACAGAAGCATGTTATTTAGAAATATTTAAGTGAATACAAGGAGAAAGCTAAAAACAATTGAGAGTGATTGCTTGTGGGTGTTGGGGTAGGGAGCTCCTCTTTTTCATAAAGTTTTTAATATTCTGGCTTCTTAAGTTATATACATGAATTATTTGATAAATAAACTACAGAGAGTATAAGTAAAGGGTTTTTGAGGACATGCAGAAATAAATACTGAGACTAATCTTTGTATTTTTTTATATTTGATAGAATGCTTTCTTTACTTTCCTCTCTTTGGGCCGGCGCCACATAGGATATCCTATGTCTGGCCTGATAGAATAAAGGTTGGTTTGGTTTATGAGTTTACCTGCAGTAGGATATTTGGCTTTTAGAATTTGACTGAAGGACTTTTTATTACCAGGTGATTTCTTTTCCCCTTGGTAATACTCATTTCCTTCTAATCTTAACATTCCCCTCTGGTTTACTGCTTAGTCCCTTTGCAGCTATGCTTGATTAATGCCCCACTTGTTAACTTTAGAACAAAAGGATAAGAACCACTTGTGCCCTTCAAAGGAGTTCTCCGCTAGGTGGTTATTATCCCAGAAGAGTGTCACTATAAATAATCTGTCCCCGTTCTGCTGGTGTTCATGGTGTGTGCTGCTTTTATTTAGCCCGTATGAAAACAGTGATGGACGAAACAAGGATGGGGCTTTATTTTCCTTCAGTTCTGCCGAGGCCTAGGCTGTATCCCACATTCAGGGTGGGAGACTCTGCTATGGCAGTGATTGTCCGTGGTGCCCACAGTTCCCCATCACCTGGGATACGACCAGAGGGTTGTTACAGACTCTTCACCTGCACAATGCAGTTTGCATCAGTTTAGTTAATACTCCTCTGGCTCCGAGCAAAGCAGCTGTTCTCAGGTAACAGAGACTTCTGTTCGACTTTCTGGCACCATCTCCCTGCACTTTCTTTCCCCAGACACAATATCTGGCAGCTCATTCTGTAAAAGGGATTCCTTTCAAGTGTAGATTAGGTCATCAGCTTTGCTCCTTAGGCTAGTTAGAAATAACGTGGAGGCTGCTTCTGGAATACTGAACTTTGGATATCTATTTCAAGGGCTGTTGGGAACCCCAAAGTCTTGGGAATCTTCAGGGAAGAGGGGGCCTTATTTCAAGAGCAGCAAAAGATCCACCAGCAGAAGGCTGAACTGGACCTCCTTCTCTGGTGTCCTGTGCCCAGAGTAGTAAATTGAATAAAAAAGTAGATCTTGTGTTCACTTTGTGCCGCTTTCCTTGGAGCAGACTAAGGTTTAGTTTCTGAGAACAGTTAGAAGCAGCCCAGGACCAAAGCCTGCATTGCTTGCTTTTGACTGTGGGTAGGGAACCCAGCATTTTCAGAAAAGCAGTAAAGGTTAGCAGAGGGAAAGGAGGGAGATAGGCCTCTTTAACTGAGGAGAGGAGAGTGCCATCTCCACGGGGAGGTCTTCTTTCAGTGGGCTGCATTTCGTTCTGGAGAAGAGCATAAGGGGTGAGGGAGGAAAGGTGGAGACCGAACAGGACTCCAGCCGGTTCCTGCACACCAAGCGGGAAGGAAGAGGAAGTGTGTTCTGGAATAGCTCGAGCAGCTGCCACCATTGGCCGGCGGGGCTGTCAGTCGCCTGGGCCTGAGGCTGAAAAAAGGAAGGAGATCTGGGTTCTTGCTTGGAAGGGAGGGAGGAGGGTTGAGCCAGCCGAGCCAGGGGGCGTGGGGGCTGGGACAGCAGGCCGATTGGCAGGGCGGGGCTGCCTTCGATCCTAGCCACTTCTCTCAATCATCCGTCTTCTGATTCAGGGTGGCATTGTGTGTCCCGGAGTGCAGGAGCCAGTCCCAGAAGAGAGGCGAGGCTGAGCCCAAAGCGCTGGGTTGCTTCAGCAGGGAAGTCTCCCTTCCCCCTGCTTCGGGCTGCTGAGCACTGAGCAGCGCTCAGAATGGAAGCCATCGCCAAATATGACTTCAAAGCCACTGCAGACGACGAGCTGAGCTTCAAAAGAGGGGACATCCTCAAGGTAAGTGTTGCTTCCAAGCAAATGCTGAGATGGCCTCTCCTTGTACTCTCCTACCTTCTTTGGCCTGATAACGCACAAAGAAGCTGTGCTCCTTTTTTCATTGCCCACTTTTAACATTTACCATCGTGTGAGATGTGGATAGCTGAGATGGACGCTGAGTAGAATATTAAATATGACTTAAGAGGGTGGTGTGTGTGATGTATGGTCTTTAACTGCCTTTGTGTGAATGCCTCGAGTATTTCTTTTTGCTTGTTGATGTTGGTACTATTTCAAGTAAAGTCAAAGCAATACGACTGTCGTAAGGAAGTAGGTCGATTTACCTTGGAGAGTTTTATTAAAAAATTAGAGGATGTTTTGAAAGACCTAAACTTGAAGTATTTATGTAAAAGCACTCAGTCTTGTTTTATAGTCAAGAGATTTTTGCCTTCTGGAATGTGATCCTAGTTGGTTAGAAATTAATTTTCCTTAGTTTAGAGAGGTAGTTAGAAATACATGCCAAAACTCATTAAAGAACTCAGTGTATTTCTATTCTTTTTGAAAATTAATGGAGTTCTAAATAATAAGGTTCAGTTTGCTGTTGTGCAAGTCAGATTTTGATATTCTTAGAAGAAACTTGAGGAGCAGTTACCCCATATTAAACTCTAATTGCACAAAAGAAACCTGCTGACAGTTTAGAAAAAAAAATAAGCTTCTTTCTAGTTTGCAGCTAATTTTGAGCCCCACTATTTACAGGAGGATTCACTTTCCACCTGGCACATGTTAATTATGTTGTTTACCTAGTTGACTCGAGCAGCTTGCCCTTTTGGATATATAATTTATTTTTTACAAGGGTGGGTGTTATCTAATAGTGTCAACTCTAAGTGAGGAAAACTTTAGTTTTAGTGTTTGCATACTCACCATGTCTCAGGTTTTGACATTTTTTCTCTGAGCCTTAGTCTGATTGCTGGAATTTGCTACCGTTTGTTGAGTATCCCTGAATGAAATGAGAATTTTATAAAGAGGAAGAAAGTGGAAATGTAGAAATATGGTCCTTTTTAAAAGGACTAGTTCTTTTGTTTGTTTCTTTAAGTTATGGAGAGTTACTGTTTTGTTCTCATTGCCAGAGGCATAGAGTTCTCTGAAGTTACTGCACAGTAGTTTAATGTTGGGTGTGTAGGTTGTACTTCAGAAAAGGAGATCTTGAAGAGCCCTTTAAGGAGAAGGAAGCTCTGAGGTCTATTTAGAGGTGTTATTGTGATGCCAGGCTTTTTGAGGATATTCTCAAAGTCAGCACCAAATTGCCAGAAAGCAAACAGACCAGCTATATAGGTTTTAGAGTGACATATGTCTTCTGGTTCTGTTTTCTTAGAGAGCTAGAAACCAGAGCAATTGTAATTTAGAGTGCTAAATTACTCTATCATTGGTGTACAGAGGAGGTACTTTGATGTTTTCATAGGTGATTACTATTTTCAGCAGGTAACCCACTAGTGATATCATAAGATTGGCTACTTAAGTACTCACATTTGTAGCCTGTACGAAAACGCTTTGGAGCCACGTTTTGGGTTTTTATTAAGTCCAAACTGATTTTTCTATTACGCTTACCCAAGAAACTTGAACAAAACCTGGTGGTTCATATTTTTCTCTTAAGTTTATCCCATTGCATATTTAGTACTAAAGCAACAAAGTAAAACAAAGAGGGATTTGAGAATAATTTTAAAGAATTTTTAGACAAGAACTTCTCATGTTTACTAGCACCGAAGTTTTTCCTAGACCGTGAACATTTTATAAGTTCTCCAACTTAAATTGGTAACCTCTTGAACAAGTATAAAACCCTTCTCTCTCCACCCTATAATTAGAGAAGGTGATACTGTTTAACATTCCTCCAGAAAATATCATGATGGGAGAGAAAGGTAATCAGTGTGCTCCCATTTACTCTCAGATTTTCTCTGGGGAGAGAAAAGTACGTATATTTGGTTCTTTCCAATTTGGTAGATAACTGGCATATGAAGTCATAATGCCATTATTGCTTTTGAATGGTGGCCATTAGCTGTTTGTTAGTAATCTTGTGGCTTTACTCCAAAAAAAAAAAAAAAAAAAAAGATGATACAGTAGTTGCCCTTTGTCTCCTAATTCTGTGAAACAGCTGAGTGTGAAGAGGAGGGCCGTGAGGGACATGGCTTTGTGTTAAGAGCTGTTAGTAAAAAAACAAAAACAAAGGCAGTGTTTTCTTCGATTATTCAGGGAGTAACTGGCTTCATTTGAGTGGCTCTGATTTGATTTGATAACTCTTAGGATCTTAGTTGTGAGCCACAACCTGTTTAGAAGTGGCTAAAATAGCACTGACTAGTTTAACTTGATTCAAATAGGGGTATAGTTGCCTCTCTTGACAAAGGAGGCATCTGCATGTTGGTGTGAATACCTTTTGTTTGGGTATAATGAAATAGAAAGGGGCTTACTGTCTGCTTCTGACTAGACTTTGGAAGGATTACATCCTTTTATGTCTTGGAGTTCCTAGTTAACTTTTGGTTAATGTTGACTCCTGTCATCCAGCAGACCACTTCCTTACTTTCCATCTACACACTGACTTGATCTGCCTTGAGAAAACTAAATACATTTTACTGGAAGCCTAAAATAGAACTGAATGCTTCAATATATCTGCCTTTGTTACTTTCCCTCTTATGAAAGCTTGTGTTTTTCTTGAGGAGGGCACTGGGGCATAGAAATGGGAGGAATTGCTCTTTTGTTGCAGGTTTCAGGCCTTGCATGGCTGAGCTAAACCTAAATTTCCCCACCATTGTGGGGCGGGCTTGACACAGTCCCAGGAGTTCTCCGCTGACAGGGCCCTTGAATATGAGAGCACATAAACGTCTGAGCTCACCTAAAAGCTGCACCTGCCACTTAGAGGCTTATGTACACACACTTTAAACAGTGCTGCATAGGAATTAAGAACATTTTGAGCTCTCAAACCTGTGCTCATTCCATTCTAGAGTCAGCTTCTTGTTTTCCTTCAAGGCATACCTTTGACTCTAGAAGAGAGCCATCAGTGGACCATCTAAGTGTCTTCTACTCTGTCCTGCCCTAACTACCTATACTGGCTTCACAAGCTGCCTTAGAACTAGGTCTTGGTTCACACTCAGATCTTTGAAGTCGTCTCTATCTCAGCACTGATGTCCCTGTTTCACTGTCTCCTTTACTGAGCATCTCCTTGAGTCACATCCTGGGATAACTTGCTTTGAGAGTTGGGGAAGAAATAGATGTACTTTCTCCCTTCAGGTACTCTAAAATCAAATAAGAGAAGTGAGATTAATATCTGAAACAGTACATGGCAGTATGTAAAGTTAGAGGATTTTTAGAACAGGAAAACACCTTTTACAATCTATTAATTTAGACTTATTATTTTACAGATGAGGAAACGGTGGCCCAGATCACAAACTTAGTACTTCATAGTGCACTGGTGTTTAATGGGTTGCTGAAGTTGTGTTATACCCTGCAACTGCCAGAGGAATTGGGAAGGGAAGAGATGGGTAAGAGCTGAAGCCAGAGAAAACTGTGAGGAGGAAGAGTCACTTGACCTGGACCCTGGGGGATGAATAGGGTGGGGCTCGGTGAGAACAGCGGGGTGGGGTGGGGGGTATACTTGTGTTTGAGAGAGGAATGCTGGAATAAGGCTGTAGACCATGATGGACACAGTAGAAAATAAGGTAGAATTAGAGTCACATAAGAAAAACTCAGGAGTTTTATTTTGTCTGTAAGAAGCCTCTGAAGGTTTTTAGTTGCTGACGAAAGAAAAGTGTTCTGTGTATAATGGGTATCGGGGAGGTAAGCCTGGGGTCCCAGTCTGGAAGGTTGCAGTACCAGGTTGTGAGAGATGAGTGCCTGCATAGGTGTTCCTGCTGTCCGGGGCCTTTGAGTAAGCCACCTGTGTAACAGAAAAGAGTGCCCACTGAGGATGCTTCTGAGAAATAGGGTTTGATTGGTTCCAGTTTCACAACAGCTGGATTTTGGTACACAAGTCCATTTCAGGTGTTTGAATTTACCAAACTTAAAAAAATAAGAGGTTAGGCTGTTTCTTTTTTCTTCACTATTTTTTAAGTCCTGGTATCAGTATGCTTTTATAGAAGCATTTCTTTGTTGATAAGAATTCTTACCAATCTTATTGACTAAGCCCAGAATGTTGTATTTACTCTTTTGAGAATGAGTTCTCTTATAGCAGGTAATTTGTTTGCCTTTCATTATATTCATTTATCCCCCTGTCATCTGGATGGACTATTTCCAAATAGGTGCTAAGAATGAATGAACTTTCTGTTCCCATATAAGACTTCTTTTGGGAGGATGGCTGAAGACCAGTCATCCCTGTTTGGAGAAAGAAAGAAGTGAGGAAATGCAGTGTTCCTTTGGGGTCTTTCAAGTTTCACCTCTGTGAGCCATAGTAGCTGAAGTCATTATTGAACAGCTACCATTTATGGAGCATTTCCTATATGCCATGAAGTTACACGTTATTTCTAATTTGGGGCACTAGAAGGTTGGTGTTATTAGTGCCATCTTATGACTGCAGAAACAGGCTCAGAAATCAAGTAACTTGCTCTGGTTCACACATCTGTTAAGTGGCAGAGTTGGGGTTTGAGCTCAGGTCTGGCTGCGATTCTCCCTCTAGAGTGTGGTAATGCCCCTCTTAACTGTCATGAGTAAACCGGAAATGTAAGGTATCTGCAGCCCTGCTTTGCTCACTTTCCAGGCAATGGCAACAGCTTCTACTGAGTGACTTATCAGACATCCTATCTAAAAGTAAGTTGACTTCAGTGGTGAAAGGAATGAAAAAATAAAAGATGGTAAAGATTGACCCTTACCCTCTGTTGGCCAGGGTAGAGAAATGGGTATTGTCACCTCCTTCCAGTGGAGATTTGCACCAATAAAATCTTTCTGAATGGTGGCTTGGTGATATGTATCAGAACATAAAATGACCCGGCAATTCCACTTTTAAGAATTCTAAAAAAAAAAATTCTTAAGTTTAAAAAAATGTA